TGTAGGGTAGTCGGAAGAGTGCTCGTTGGAGATAGAGCTTCGCAGGGTGGGAGGAAGACAGCAATGGCTATTGCCCTGAATGACTATTCTTTGGATAGTCCATTTCCCTTTCCACATACTCAGGAGGCTGAGGCAAGAAGATCATAAAATCTTAAACCTGCCTGAATTACAGAGTTAGTTCAAGAGCAGTCTGGGTGGCTTAGATTCTGCCTCAAAATAAAAAGAGAAAGGGGCTGAGGATCAGGGGAAGAGTGCACACCCAGCACATGCAAAGTCCTAGATTTGGTCCCTAGTCCTGCCAGAACACAGAGCAACAACTAAACCCCAACTCAGTGGCCAGCACCATCGGGCTCTGCTTCACTTTCTGGTTCAATATGACCGCTGAGCCTCAGAGACACATTTACCATTCCCACATGCTGCCCTGGTGTCTGTAAACGTTTGACTAGGATCTGGACAGTTCCTAGTGATAGATACTCTCCTAGAGCCACGAGGAGCGGAGACTGGAGCTGCACATCCAGATTCTCTTCTTAGTTATCTGGATAGCTGACACCCAAGTGCACAACCCTAGGAAGAGCTTTGCAAAAAACCAGCCTCTCCAATGGATCCAGGAGGGGGAACTGAAATTCAGCTCAGGACACACAAACCTCTTCTTTCTTCCAGATCTTTCCGGTCCTGTTAATTTGTCAATGGTACCCATTGCATGCTAGCTTCAGACTCAAGCTCTTGGCTCAGATCAGAGAAAACATGCTTCAGTTTCAAGAACTTACTTGTAACCAGACTGTAGACACACAGACAGGGTTTGTCTTTCCACATTCTCACGGAAATTGCCAGCGCCATAATGAGGACATAGGAAAATCAGCAATCAACGGTAGAAGTTAAAGTATGGCAGCGACACATCAGAAATTTAGGTCACTCAAGGGATTCTTCCGATCTGGTCACGGCGGCTCAGGTCTGCAGTGTCACACTGGCAGGCTGAGGCAGGAAGGTCACTCTGTCCCAGGAGTTCTAGGTCAGCCTTGTCTTAAAAAACGAAACAACAAATCCCTAAAGGCCTGACCCAGTGTCCACCAGAACTACTTGCCTTTCCTTTGTTAAGGAATCTCTGGAGCTTGGGATGAGACCAGACGAGGAACATCTGAGAAGGCCTGGAACCTTGGGTCACTGCTGGGGTGCTGTGTAAGGATGTACTTGATTTGTGATTTGTGACCACAAAGAATGAAAGCTAGCACCTGGCTGGTTGTCTCCCCACTCCCCGAGCTCCCCCCCCCCACACAAGAAGGAGTGAAAACATCAGGTCTGATCTGGTCAGAAATGTCCAAGTTTTCGTTGAATAATTCATGCCGCAGATGTAGCGTAAAGTGAGTAGCTATCAGGTCAGTTAGTTCTCAGAGGTGTGCAAGTTCCCAAACCTGGGTGAGCAGGATAGTTCATTCACAACTGATTGATTAAAATGGAGTAATGCAGCTTTGCCAGTAGCTAATATGCAAACTGACTCTGGCATCTGCCCCCATCAAATGCCAGGTGATTTTGGATGCATCTATAAGAGGCTTCCTGATGGACAGACCAGCAGCCTCCACCATAGACACAGAGCAACTCTCACTATGTGTTGACCCTTGCTTCCCAGACATTATTTTATTGTGTAGCCCAGGTTGGCTTCAGACATGATTCTCTTGTGTTTGCCTTCTGGGTGCTAGGATGACAGGTATACCCCACCATGCCATGCCATGCCCCTTCTTCTGTCCCTTGTAGGACTGTTGTCATTGTCTTTACCTATGGTAAAGGAGTGCATATGCACACACACAAACACATATAATCAAATATATCATTGTTCAATAAACTTACGTATCTGAGAAATCAAGAACAAGAACTCTAGAAGCTTTGGCTGGTTTCTACTTACCCATTTCTCAGTGTATGCCAACCCCTTGCCTGGGTTGTGAAGAGAAGTCCAAGGGAATTCTTAATGCTGAGCCCCTAAATTGATTTTCTTCCTTTGTGCTCTGTCAAGGCATGAAAAGCCATTCTCAAGTTTGACCATAGTATTCCTAGACGCAGCTTTCATGCTTTGTACTTTTCCACTTTTCTGTTTATTTATTTATTTGGTTTTTTGAGACAGGGTTTCTCTGTGTAGCTTTGGAGCCTATCCTGGCACTCGCTCTGGAGACCAGGCTGGCCTCAAACTCACAGAGATCTGCCTGCCTCTGCCTCCTGAGTGCTGAGATTAAAGGCATGCGCCACCAATGCCCGGCTATTTATTTACTGTAAAGGCATGCGTCTCCATTGCTTGTCTATTTATTTACTGCTTATTTATTTATTTATTTATTTATTTATTTATTTATTTATTTATGGCTTTCCAGGCAGGGTTGCTCTATGTAACAGTCCTTGCTGTCCTAGAACTTGCTCTGTAGATCAGGCTGGCCTCAAACTTACAGAGGTCCACCTGCCTCTGTCTCCCAAGTGCTGGGATTAATACTTTTCTATTTATTAAACTTGTTAGATATATAGCTTAATCTCTGACATTAACTTTTTTTTTCTTTCTTTTTTTTTTTTTTTTTTTTTTGGTTTTTGCGAGAGGGGTTTTCTCTATTTAGCTTTTGAGCCTACCCTGGCACTAGCTCGGGAGCCCAGGCTGGCCTAGAACTCACAGAGATCCACCTGCCTCTGCCTCCGGAGTGCTGGGATTAAAGGCGTGCGCCACCAACGCCCGGCTCTGACATTAACTTAAGGGAGTTTAAGATGTATTTTTTGTTTTGTTTTGTTTTAAATATTGTGTCTGTTCCCGTCTTCTCATCCTGGTGCTCCACGGTTCTTAGATCCTGAAGTCCAGTTTTTTCACCCCCTTCCCCTTTTCTGTTTTGGAAGGTTTTTCTGTTTGTATTCTCAAGTCTAGAGATGCTTTCTTCATACAAGCCTGCTAATGAGCCCATCAAAGCCATTCTTTGGTTTTCCCAGCTTTTCCCTTATTGTTAGGGGAGAATAACTTCCCAGCTGCATGTCTGCTGGACTGGAAACCCAGTGTCCTTGGAGCAAAGCTGGAGAATGACCCTGCGAGTCCTCTCTACCAGGAGGCTTGCTGTCACCACACAGCAAATTCTTCTAAGGAGTTATTGAAATTCATGATGCTACCCCCTTTCTTTGATAAAGGACAAGTGTTCCCAATTGCTGACATTAATGGAATTTTTTCCCTTCCTAAATGTGGTGGAAAATGTCACTTTTCAAAGCAGGGAGAGATACCATCAAATTTAAGTGTTTGAAATCCCTGTTGAGCCATTGGCAAGCTCACGGAGGATGGTTTGAATTCCCTCATCCCCAGTACTGGGAAACAAAAAAGAAAAAAAAAAGTTTTAGTGTTGAGGTTTTTAAAACTAGTGGGATTTTAAAGGTTGAACTGAATGTGTATTATGAGATAGTGTGGAGTCTGTGGGGCTAGGACCGAAATGTTCTGGTTTAGATGGAGCATGTCCTCTCTAAGCTTGCCCATGTATTTGAATCCTTGGTGGTGGTGCTGTTCTGGGAGCCTGTGGACCCTTTGGGAGGTAGGGCCTAGCTGGAGGAAGTGGATCCCTGGGTGGGTGGCTAGGGGGCCTTAAAATTCATAGCCCACCCCCACTTCCTGACTCATCTGTGCTTTCTGGGTCACCGAGATGTCTTCTCATTGTCACGGAGCTGAGTTGCTGCCATGGTGGATGTATCCCCTTAAACTGTGAGCCAGAGCAAACTTCTCATCCCTTTAAAGGAATTGTCTTACTCCAATGCCTGAGGGTAGGCAAATTGGAAGATAATTTTATGTAGGTGTGTATGCATGTATATATGTGTTCTGGGGATTAAGCCCAGGGCTTTGCACATGCAAATCAAATGGCTTACATTAATGTACACCTCCAGAGCAGAAAAGGAGACAACTCATTCTGCAGAGAACCTTAGCTTTGAATGGGAAGAGAGAGACTATATGGAAGTTGGGAGGCATACCCAAAGAGGTCCCAGGTATCTTTTGAAAAGAAAGGTAAGATGTTCAAATAGACAGAAACAAAGAGAGACACAAGAGAAGGTGTCTATGGCAAAATATGCTACTCAAAAAATAGTATGAGACCAGACTATTGTCCCTCAGAATGTGCCTCAAAGAGACACAACAGGGCACTCAATATATGACTCTTTTGAATGGAGGACTATTTTGAGAACTAGCAGACACAGAAAAGATGTCTTTATAGTGTTCATGTATAAGAGTCCTCTTGGGTGTGGTTCAGAAGTATAGATCCCAGGTTAAAAGAAATGTACATGTTCTACTCTCTTGGAAAATGTCCAGTGTCCATTCCTGTTGGCTATGTGTTTGTGGAGGTCACATTGCGCTGCTCTGTGATAAGTGGCATATCACCACCAAGTTGTTTGTGCCCTAAGCCAAGACTCTCAATCTGCTCCACCCCCATCCCCACTCCTGCTAACTTGCAAAGAGGAAACACCTATTTCTATTTTGGCTTGTGGTCCCAGAGGTTAACATTATTGTCTATTATTCTGCTTCCTTGCACCTGACTCACAAGAAAAATAACTTATAAATGGCCATTCCCTTTCTGCACCTCTGTAGGTAAGACATAGTTCTTCTGCATAGCCTGCCTGAACACTGGTTCAGATTTATGGAACTGTGCTGGTATCTTGTTTGTACAAATAAAGCATGCCTGAAGGTCAGAGAGCAGAGTTAGCCACTAGTTAACCACAGAGGTCTGGAGGTCTGTACCAACAGACAGGAAGTGATATGGCTGGGTGGAGAGAGGAAGTGATAAGGTGGGAGGAGACAGCAGCTCAGTCTCTTTTCATCTGGGAAGCTGAGTAGGTAAGGTGGCTGTGGTTTGCTCCTTCGTCTCTGATCTCTCTGCATTTCCCCCTATATCTGACTCCATGCTTTTATTATTGAGACCCATTAGAACTCTGAGCTGCATGGAATGAGTGTTGCAAATAAAAGCAGCCAAGAACTGTCAACTAAATTAGTTGGACCTTTTTCCTCTGACAGCAATGTCATACCCAAATGGACCAGAAAGGAGCCTCAGCCTGATACCCAGGAGTTGTTATGCCATCAGTCTGACTTCTGCATGGCAGGAGCTGCGTCCTGGTCACATTCATGGATGATTTCAGCTCCCAAGTGATAGTATTACAGATGTGTGCCACCATTCCCAGCTCATGTGGAATCAAACTAAAGGCTTCATGAATCTTAGGCAAGCACTCTACTAACCCGAGGTATTTGTCATTTTATTGGTGATGACATATTTGGGTACACTTACACATCAGAGCACCAAACCATAGCATAAATAAACTATGACTGCTCTCAAATTTGAGTTTGATAACACAGATTGAGTATACCTTATTCAAAATGCTTGGGGCAAGAAGTGTTTTGAACTTTGGATATTTTCAGATTCTTCAATATTTGTATATGCCAGTGAAATATCCTGGGGACGGGACCCAAGTTCAGACACAAAATTCACTTATGCTCCATATATATAGTACACAATAACCTGAAATATCTATCATATTTCACAGTGCCTGCTTTTTGACTGCAATGCATCCCAGGAAGGTAGGTGTGGAATTTTCCACTTGTGATATTTTAAAGAAATCGTATTTTGATGCATTTTGAATGTCAGATTTTTGGATTAGGGACATTCAACCTGTTCAGAAATGTGATACAGGCTAGGACTCTATTTCCAAGGTTAAAAAAAAAAACCACCGTATCTACTGCAATGGAAGGGTCATACAGTGACAGGAGAATGGTTGCCAAGATGAGGGAGGAGATTTGGGGAGGGGTAAGTCATTGCCAAAGGACCCAGGAGGCATCTCTGAAGCAGCAGTGCCCTACTTCTTACCCCAAGTGGTGGTTTTTGTGGGCGTTCTCATTTTGATTATTCTCCAGCCTATAAACAGACATTTCACACATTCTTCTGAATGTAGGACATAGTTCACAATGTAAAAACAGGGGGGTGCAGGAGGATGCCTGAGGGGCACTGGTGAATTTCCTGTGGGTTTAGTGTGACCACAGAACCATGCGATCCCCTCAACAATCCTCAGACAGCTGAGGGGTCATGTGGAGAAGGTAGAGTGGGGTTCATCTGTCACTGGGGACTGCCAGAGGACAGATCCAAAGACAAAGGGAGGGATGAAGTGCAGGATGAGGGTTCAGGCAAGACTGTGATACACAGCTGAACAGGAGGCAGGAGAAGTCCGGAGAGAGCTGAAGTGGAAGTGGGGAGACTCACTGGGCATGGGATCCGAGACCCCGAGACCACTGATGCCTCTGGGACCACAATGCTGGCAGCTGGCCAGAGTGATAGTCATGGTGGCACAAGGGATGTCCTGTCCCAATTCAGAGTGTATAGGCTTTATGAGCCCATCTGTAGAATGTTGCTGGGTTGGGGTCACAAGAAAACACACAGAATCAAGTAACCTGGGCTTATAGGTGCTCACAGATACTGAACCCTTTGCATATGCACTATGGTTGTATAGCCTGGTGTTCTTTGGGAGTGGGGCTGTCTCTCACTCTTTTGCTTGCTTTTTGGACCCCTTTTCCTCTTACTGGGTTGCCTCATCCAGCTTTAATATGAGGGCATGTGTCTAGTCTAATTGCAACTTGATATGTCATGTTTGGTTGATGTCCTTGGGAGGCCTGCTCTTTTCTGAAGAGAAACAGGAGTGGATTTGGGGGAGGAGAACCTGGGAGGAGAGGAGGGAGGGGAAACTGAGGTTAGGATGAAATATGTGAGAGAAGAATAAATAAAAAAATAAACAAACCTTTAAAATATATTTAAAATCTACAGATAGTATCTGAAGAGAGCAATGGCAAGGTGTTCACATGGGAAAGAAAGTTTAATTTAAATTATTTCATAATAATTACAAATAATTTTTAGTTATTTCACATACAGAAAGATGTGCTCTTTTTGGTGTATGGGATCATGTGATCAGTCGTGCCGACAAGGAGGCAGGTGTAGTTTGCTACGCCTAGAGGTTTCTGCCACGCTAGTTAAGTTAATCCGGGAAACCATGCATCTGTTTCCATCTCTGCCGTTTTCCTCTTTTCTAGGACATCACTTAAGAAGAGTTGTGCAGATGAACATTTCTGGGTTTGGCGTCTTTCATGTAATGCACCCAAGAAACAGTCAAGTCATGTTCAATGCTAGCTCTAATTTACTGTTGAGAAGTCTTCTGTTGTTGGGGGTACTGCATTTTTACTTATTTTTTTTAATAAAGCGTATTAGACAAGGCTGGGATATTAGGATGCAGGAGAATGAGGCTTCAAAAGACAAGCTCCACTTCTAACAGAGAACACTAGGTATATGGGTTGTTGTTCTGAGGCTTTGAACCCAGGACCTTGTGTGTGGTAGGGGAGTGCTCTACCACATCCTGTGTGTGTGTGTGATACTGGATTTATTTAACCATCCATCTTCCATAGGGTTTTGGGGTTGTTTCTGGTCTGTGGCCATGGTAGAGATTTTTAAGAAACCCCTTTTCTGGAACTGAGAGAATGTGAGATCCAATCCAGTAACAATTTAGAGGGTTTGGACTTCTCTTACCAGCCCCACCCAATTGATGCGTATGGATTAGTCATGCTTTACAAGGGCACACAGGCTGTTTCCTAAAATAGAATTCATCCTAAACTGTAAATAACGCTAAGAACAAGCCAGGCACTGTGGAGCATGTCTGTTAATCTCAGCACTTGGGATGAAAGTCCCTAATCATCCTGGGCTACACAGAACCTGTGCTTATAGTTCCAGCTACTTTGAGGATTAGGTGGAGGTTCACTTGAGTTTGGGAGTTCTAGACCAGCCAGGACAGTATAGCAAGATCCCCCACCTCAAAAAAAAAAATAAAATCAGGCAGACTGGTGGTGATGTAGCTTAGGAAAACAATGCTGAGGCCACGTGTGAGGCTCCAGGTTTAAGACACACACACACACACACACACACACACACACACACACACACACACACACACACCCTTAGTGATCTGTCATTGAAAACCTTCCCACAATTAACACAGAAACCCACAGCTAGACCATGAGCAGAGAGTGAGAGGTTTTGGACCACTTGGTCTTAAATGGGATGTCTTTATCATGCTCCACCCGCCCAGGATCAGGGATCTATTCGGAGGAGGAGGCAGACAGATTGTATTAGCAGGAAGTGGTGGACTCCAAGGGAAGCAGGAAAGTGGAAGTGATTCCAAGGAAACAGTCTTCCAGACACAAGATGGAGGTAAATATGAACTCAAAAACTGCAATTGCACCTGCAAGACCTGCACCAGTTCAAGCTCACCACTGAAAAGCAGAAGTAGATGCAAAGTTCCATCCATAACCAAGATTCCATTTGCAATTGCTACCTGCTAGGAACAGGAAAATCAGTTTTCTCCAATGGAATGTCGTATCACTCCCACCCCAAGCCCAGGAGTAGTTGGCCAACACAAAATGGACTCCAAGTTTTTTGTTTTTCTGTGGGATTTTTGTTTCATTATGACATTTTGTCTTATTGTTATTTATTTGCTTGCTTTGATTTTGATTTTTGAGGTTTTTTTTTTTTTTTGAGAAAAAGAGTGTACATGAAGGGTTGGGTAGGGAGGTGAGGAGGATCTGGAAGGGGTTCCGGGAGGGGAAACATGATAAAAGTATATTGTATGAAAAAAATTAAGTAAAAAAGCAAAAGTAAAAAGAACACTCACTAAAGATGGGGCAGGGTGAGGGGTGGGTGGTGGGGAGGAAAGAACCAAAAGAAAAAATCTTTTAAAAATTTATTTTATTTTATTTATTTATTATGTATCCATGTATGTCTGCACACCAGAAGAGGGCACCGGGTTTCATAACGGGTGATTGTGAGCCACCATGTGATTGCCGGGAATTGAACTCAGGACCTCTGGAAGAGCAGTCAGTGCTCTTAACCTCTGAGCCATCTCTCCAGCCCTGAAAGAAAATTTTTTCACAATGTAAATCCAGGTGCAAATGCCTTTTAATGTAGTCACTGAATTGCTGTATTCTTTTAAAGAGTCTATGGAACACACATTTACTTTTGCTTATATGTTATACTTACAGAATTTCTTTAAAGCTCGCATCAAATGAACAAATAGTAAAGTGAATTGTGGGAGGAGATACAGATAAATTAAAATGAGCCATATTGAAGGTGGGCCTTTTGGCATGCTCTGCCTACTTTTTGACCTCTCTTGTTCTTCATTATCACCGTCTTCATCATCATCATCATCACCCTCATCACCATCCACTGAGCTCTGTCTTCAGCCTTGATCTCGCCATCACCATCACCATCATCACGGTCATCCCATCATCGGTGGAGATCTAACCCAAGGCCTTATGCATATGAAGCAAGCTCTCTGGCACTGAGTTGTAGCTTCAGCCTTGATCTCCACTATAGTAGATGTCTGACAATTTCCATGAAGTGTTTTTGAAAAAGTGAGGTTATAACATCATGTGTAAACCCTCCAGCAGCTCAGCAGCTCTCTGTCTGTGTTAAGAACGTAACAGGTTAGTGGTGACTGGGTTAGCTGCTCTGTCAGTTAGCATGTCCTGGGGTCTCTTCTCCACTGCTCTCACTCTGGCCTCCTTCCAAGGGGTCCTGAACCTCAGGGTCTTTGCCCCTGGCCGTGCACAGGTCTGAGATGCTCATTCTTCTGAGTCAGCATGACTCAGGTCTTTGTTCAAATGCCCTTTCATTAACGACTCGCTGGACCACCCCAAATAAATCCTTCAAAGGCTACAACCGCATTTCATAGCTCCTTTCCTCCAGGGATCAGTAGCCGCTGAACGCTTGAACTGTTTCTGACATCTTTCTTTTCTGTTTACTTGCTATGACTATGCCAGCTCCAACCAGGCAGGTACCATCACAGTTGTACCCAGTGCCCAGATCAATGTTGACATCTAGCATCTAGTAGGTGTTCCAGAAACTCACTGAATGAGTAAGAAAGGACTTCGGTCTCTTCAAGAGGCGCCGTGGGGCCCCTTGAGATCTTCCACACAAACCTGCCACCTGTGGCCTTCCTTGCTGTGCTGTCCTTGTTTGAGTCTGGTTGCCTGCCCTGGTCATTCTGGACCCTGGGGCTATCTTCTTAGAGACTGAGGGTCCCACTGGAAGTCAGAAGGCTCGGATCTTCCTAGTGATTCTGGAAAAAATGGGAGCCATGGACTCTCTCAAGGTGACTTTGGAGCCTTGACCTGTGCTTGCCAGCTCTGAGATCACGCAGGTTCATTTCACTTCCCCAGGATCAGCTTACTCATCTGTCCGTAGGGAACCCAAAGTCTACCAACCCTGCAGGGTGACTGGGTGAAGGGAGCACGTTCACCGACAGGTACCGCTGATAATCATTTTCGCAGCTCCCCTAGAGTCGCCAAATGGGTTTTAATGAGGCAGACACATCATCTTTGGGG